CTCTCTCTCTCTCTCACTCTCTCTCACTAACTCTCTCTCCACATGTTGCCCTACAACTGACTTGCTAACCTGTTGCACAAAGTCCAACATTCCAAAACTAAAGCGGCTCTTCTTTATCTTTTCAGATCTTAAAAGAACGACAAAAATAGAGAGAAAGAACAGAACTGGACATGATGGGTCAAACTGCACTACTCTCTTTCCTTGTGCTGGTTTGTCTTATTCTAAACATCATCACCACCACGAACGGACAGGAAATAGACATACCGAGCAACACCGGATATAACATCTCGGGCAATAACACATTCCCACAAAACGTCAAGACGTACGTCATACTTTATAAAGACGACGCTGTAAAGTCTAGCGTGGTCAACTGCACAGCTCCAGACAATCTACCCGTTACAGACGACAACATCGTAAATCTGAAGTACGAGTGGATACCACCAGCAGGAGTGTCTCTTGTCCAGAATGGGCAATATTCATCTTCCAGCGAGGGCGAAGTCGTAACGAGCAAAAACGATAATAGTAATAATAATCATCATAACAATAATAAAGGACAGAGTTCTTCCCCTTGGGTGGAACTGACGTCAGAGGAAGAGCTTCTCTTTCACAACCCAGACGACTCTCTGAGAGGACCCTACGTCTGTCAGAGCAAGACAGATGAACATCTCGTGTACGAAACTACGGTGTGGGTGCACGTCTTGAAGAAAACTGTGTTCGACACGAAGGAGAGGCTCAAAATCGGCTTTCTTTGCGCGGGAATATTTATCTTGCTCGTCGGACTCTGTTACGGCCTCTTCTGGTACTGCGACCGTCGTGAGCTAAAGTACACGATGGCTGGCGACGACGACGAAGGTCTGAACCTTCCAACTGTCTCAATTACGCCCCCTAGTGACTATTCAAGTGGCCTTCAAACCTAATCAAGAATCCACAGGACACAGAGTGTTTTGGCACATATTATGCACACCAAAAAGCTTTAAAATGTTTAATTTAGCGTTCTTCTTCCACACCCAGTCTTCCTAAGCCTTGCCCCTCAACCCCCACCATCTTGTTCTAATGTCCTATAGGCCACAATCTTGTCCTATTTATTGTCCTCCATCTTGTCCTATTGTTCTCCATCTTGTCCTATCGTTCTCCATTTTGTCCTATTGTCATCCATCTGGTCCTATTGTCTGCGATCTAACCTATTTTCCCTCACATTTTCCTGTTGTCATCAATCTTGTCCAATTGTCATCCATCTCGTCCTCTTTTACCCCGTATTGTCCTCCATCATATTTTCCTATTGTCCTCCATCTTGTTCTATTGAACAAGCCCCCCCCCGGGAACTGTGCCATTGTTCTTATGCACAGTAGAATTGTAATCGTTAATGGGTTGATTCATCAATGTCATGCTCATAACAGTGGCTGAACTGCAAATGGAGACTGCTGCTTTTTCTTTCCTAATCCTTTCTATTGTCATTTTTTCTCTACTTCTTTTGTATGTTTGTTACAATCTTGAAACCCGCTATTTCCGGGGTGCCTTGATAGTCGAAGCAGACTTTGTGCTGTTGGAGCAAGAGAGGTGAGCAGAGTAAGCCTGATTCCTTGTAAGGGCTTCCCTGTTGACATCCATCCCTAGGCGCTCATAGGACCTTATTAATATGCAGTTGCGAGCCCCGTTAAACATCTACTAAGAAAAGAAAGATTTTTTTTTCAATAAATAAAAAACAAAACAAACTAACTTCGTATCTGTTCCTCTGTCGTTCCTCTTCTTCCCGTCGGTCTCGTTCTTCTCTCTGTCTTCTATTTTCTTCCTCTTCTTCTCTTCTTCTCCTCTCCTCTTCCTCGTCCTTCCTAAATCGTTCATTTTCTTCTTCTCTGGCTTTCCTCTCCTCTTCTTCCCTTTTTTCTCTTTCTTCCCGCCTCCTCCTTTCCTCCTCCTCTTCTTCTTGCTTCCTCCGGTCTATATCAGCTTGCCGTTTCCTCTCTTCCTATAGTTCCAAGCGGGGGCAAAAGGTTAGTAAATGCATAAACACTTAGGCACATAGAGTGTAGTTGCAGAAGAAACGTAGGGACGCAGAGAATAAAAGTGTAAACATGTACGTAGAAATTTAAAATACGAATTGAAACATGTACGTACAATATCAACATGGAAACAAAAACACATGACATGAAAGAAATACCCAAAGCAAAAGTTTTCATATCAGCTGTGAACGAAATTATACGACATAAAAATAGAAAACCCACGGGTAGTTTGTGGGCTTGTACCGTTCTGTGTGTGTGTGTGTGTGTGTGTGTGTGTGTGTGTGTGTGTGTGTGTGTGTGTGTGTGTGTGTTTGTTTGTTAGTGTGTGCATGTATGTTGTGCATGTGTGTTTGATGGGCGTGGGATGGGTGCAAATACGGCCACAGACAATGGAGCAGTATTGAAGGGTAGATATGACTATACGCGTAAGCTATCAGTAAAAAGGTAGGTGCTTAACGCTCAGTGATGTAACAATGTAGTGATGATAAACACAGGTATATTCGTAGTTGTGTGTGTGTGTGTGTGTGTGTGTGTGTGTGTGTGTG